TTGAGATGTAATGTTAGGTCATTTATTTGTTGACTTCTTTTAAGGAATGAACTCCATGCAATGAACTTTTCTCTTAGTATTGCCTTCATATGTGTCCCAGAGATTCCGGTATGTTTTATCAGTGTTCTCATTTACCTCTAGGAATTTTTTTTAATCTCCTCTTTGATGTCTTTTGCAACCCATTGTTCATTCAGTAGCATATTAATTTAGTCTCCAGCTGTTGGAGTACCTTCTTTTTTTTATCATTGATTTCTAATTTCATTCCACTGTGATCTGATAGAAATGTAGGGGAGTATCTCTGGGGTTTTTTGTTTTTTGTTTTTATTTGCTAACAGTTGTTTTTTGGCATAATATATGGTCTATTTTAGAAAAGTATCCATGTGCTGCTGAGAAGAAAGTATATTCACTCATTGATGTATGAAATATTCTGTACGTGTTTGTTAAGTCTGTTATTGATTGAATTATTGAGTTCTATAGTTTCTTTGTTTAGCTTTTCTTTGGAAGGTCTATCCAGTGGTGAAAGAGGTGTGTTGAAGTTCCCGAGAATTATTGTTTTGTGGTCTATTTGACTCTTGAACTTAAGAAAAAGTTTGTAGATGCTAAATTCTTTGGGGCATATATATTTATAATTGTTATGTCTTGTTGACGTATAGTTCCCCTAAGCAGTATGAAATATCCTTCTTTATCCCTTTTGATTAAATTTGGCTTGAAGTCTACTTTGATATGAGGATGGAAACCCCTATGTGTTTCCACAGTCCATGTGAGTGATTTGTTTTTTCCCAACCTTTCAACTTGAGTTTGTGAATGTCTTTTTCTATGAGATGAGTATCTTGAAGGCAGCATATTATTGGGTCTTTTATTTTCTCTTATCCAATCCACCAGGCTATGTCTTTTGATTGGTGAGTTTAGGCCATTCAACATTTAGAATTATTATTGAGATATGATTTATATTCCCAGCCATATTTGTTTATTTTTGGTATTTAACTTGATTTGGTTTCTCCTTTGATTAGTATTTCCTTTAGTGTAATACCACCTTTTGTGATTTTCATTGTTATTTTTCATTTCCCCCTCATGGAATATTTTGCCAAGGATGTTCTTGTAGTGTAGGCTTTCTAGTTGTAAATTATTTAAACTTTTGTTATCATGGAAGGTTTTTATTTAGTCATCAAATCTAAAGCTTAGTTTTGCTAGATATAAGATTCTTGGTTGGCATCCATTTTCTTTCAGAGCTGGTATATGCTATTCCAGGATCTTTTAGCTTTCAGGGTCTGGTTGAAAAATCTGCAGATATACTAATTGGTTTCCCCCATATGTAATCTGATTCCTTTTTCTTGTGGCTTTTAAAATTCTCTCCTTATTTTTTATGTAGGCATTATAACGTGCCTTGTTGTGGATCTGTTGTGATTTTGTGATTTTTGGTGTCCTGTAAGCCTCTTGTATTTGATTTTCCAATGCATTCTTCATATTTGGAAAATTTTCTGATATTACTTCATTGTATAGATTTTTATTTCTTTGGTTTGGAATTCTATGCCTTCCTCTATCCTAATATTTTTTAAATTTGTTCTTTTTATGTTATCCCATAATTCTTGAATATTCTGCTCATGGCTTCTTAACCATCTTCACTGTTGTGTGGTCAACATTCTTTTCAAGATTATATATTTTGTCTTTATTGTCCAAGGTCCTGTCTTCCAAGTGATCTAATCTGTTGGTGATGCTTTCTTTTAACTTGGTTTATTGTTCTGTTCATTTCAAGGGTTTCTGTTTTGTTTTTTTTTCAGAACTTCTCTCTCCTTATTGAACTATCTTTTTCTTCCTGTATTTGCTTATGTAGCTCTTTATCAAAATGATCTTTTGATACCTGTATTTGTTCTCTTATATCATCCTTTAATTCACAGAACATTTTAATTATGTATATCCTGAGCTCTTTCTCTGTCATTTTTTCTGTTGTGCTGGCTATGTTTCTAATAATTTATTATTTTGTTTTGTTGGGGACACTTTCTTGTCTTGTTTTTTCATGTTATTCATGTGTCTTCCCTTCCAGCACTGCAGATCTGAGGTGTCACACTTTTTACCCTATAGGCTTATAGGGTGCCTGCATGTTTCCAGTATCTCTCCTTTAAAGGGGGAACAATGTGAACAGATCCCAGTACAAACAATATACAACCTTAAACCGAACAGCTGCTTTTAGGACATTTATGGTTTTGTCACAATATACAGAAATGAAAAGTTCAATTATTATTTGCAATATAAACAGTAGGTTTGCAAAAGGGTCTACAGTTTCTGATGGTGGACAAAGAAACCAGGGGTTAGATATAGGATGAGATGTTGAGGGGGTAGGAGGTGAGAATATATAGTTATTAGAAAGCATGAAAGAGGAATCTAAAGAAGTTGGTTAGTAGCAGGAGAAGAGAGAAAAAGTGATTTGGGCAGACAAGTGGGAATACAGTAGAGTTCAGAAAACAAACAAATATTAAGAAAATTAAAAATGTAAAAATAGGAGATAAAAGAATATACAACACTACTGTAATATACTATTCAGACATCCCAGCCCTCAGTAGCCTAATTCATGAAAAGTACATGGTTTCACAAATGTTGGGGATGTGAGGGCAAGAGAAGAGAAAGAAAAAAAATTTGAAGGAAGACACAAGGATTGTTTTTGTAGGAGATCAGTTTCTTTCCAGCTTTCCTTCTTATCCAATAGGTGAAATTGACTGTTGTTTGCTGGTATCTCCACCCTCAGGATAGTGAAGGTTATTAGGATGGGAGGATTGATCCTGGGGGCAAAGCTCTTGGAAGTGGGGTATAGCACTTTCCGGTCTCCAATGGAGACTGCACCGCAAGTATCTCCTTTGGGACCCACTCATGTGATGTGGGCACCTAATCTTAACTCCTTTTATCACCTGTAGACCTCACAATTCCTGGTCTCTAATTTAATCTCTAAACTGTATCTCACTCATCCCAATTGTGAACCTCTCTATCCAGAGGACTTACAGGCTGCATTCTGGGGGTTGTGCACCTGTTGAAGAGAGCTGTTTTATATTGGGTAGTTCAGGACCTGGTTTTGTAAGCTAGGGACTAGGTGCATAGCCGCAAGTACTGTGCCGGGTTAGTAGCTGCCGGTGAGGTGTGAGAATAAGGACTTTCCATTCCTTGATATTACTTCTGAGGTCCAGCTGTAAGTCTTCCCTGACACTGTAAAGAGATGCAGCTCTGTGGCATGCAGTATTGTGGCTGCCAGCTGTCTCCAGACCCAGTACAGTGTCCCCAGATGCAAACTCCCATATGTAGAGGACTGGCAGTGGTTGCAGTGCCCCAAGATGGAGGCAACCAGGAGAACCCGATGCTCGTAGATAGGAGTCCACACCGGAGTAGCAGCCGGAGTTCCTACACATGGGCTGCAAAGGGGTGTCCTGCATGGAAGCAGCAGCCAGGATTTTTGCACAGTTGGGCAACCAGGAATCCTGCACAGGTGCTAATGCCAGTGGACCTATTCGGGCATCTGGAGGTCCTATGTGGACGAGTGGCCGGGAGTTCTGCGCTGATGCTAAGGCCTGGAGACCATGGTGGCCATGATTTCTGTGCAAGCAGCTGGGGGTGGGGGACAGCAAGGGGGTCCTCTAATCACTCCCAGAGAAGCAGTATTCCCACTACTTGAATCCCAGAGGTCCTGAATGACACAGAATACAGCCTACCTCTAGGCCACCATCTAATTAATCTTCCCTATTAATTGTAAATTTACAAATCCAAAAAGCTAAACTTATATATATAGTTTTACAATGATCATAAATTTTAACCAGGAAAAAATTCTACAGACATAGGGAACCCAATGTTTCAAATGTATTTATTATAGTTCTGCTTAATATATGCAAGGTAAATGCTACAGTCTGAAAAGATTTTATCATCACTGTTACATCTCTGTGAAATAATCTGTTACACCTCTTCATTCTTTTCATGTTTTCTTCTTTCTTTCCACCTCCATGATTTTAAATCTAACCTCTGTGCTGATGATTCCCAAATCTCTATATCTAACCCTGGCTTGCCTATCCTATGTCATCCAGTTGTTTGTCTCAATTTAGAAGTCCTAAAGATACATGAGTCCCAGCTTGTCTAAGGGCAAAGTTATGTTTTCTATTCATACAACACCAGAATATACTTCATAATCCTTTTTTTAGTTAATCACTGTTTATCAGGTTCCCCAGGCTAGATGCATATAAGGAAGCTTTAACAAAGGTTTAACTTCTTAAATACATTCAGTTTTTCATACCTCTGCCATTTCCTCTGCTTTGAATTTTCTTCTTACCTCTTTTTGGCCTGGAAAACTCCTGCGTATGCTTCAGGATACCGCTCCTGTAAGTCTTCCCTGACACTGTAAAGCAGGTGCTTGTATACTGCAGTGTGTGTGTGTGCCTGCGCATGTGTATACACAGCACAAACATTTTTTTCATTTGTTTCTTGGTAAACTCTAAGCCTTTATAGGGCAGAGACTATTTTCCCTTCATTATATCTCCTATCTTAAGCATACTACCTGTGTCCATTTATAGAAGAGAGGGATAGCATAAAATATCCATATTTTAATTGTGCTACCCAGTGATAAATTTTACTAAATAAGCATGTCCACTTTTTTTCAAAATCAAAGTCAACTCAAGTGAACCTTTTTGCATGGATATTAGTCTTTACTTTTACCAGTAATTCATTGGATTTCAGGGAATAAATTATTAAGCAAGTTAACATTGAATATAAAGTTTTATAAGTACATTTAAGATACATCACCCTTATCCATCACAAAGGTAATCTAGTGGTATTTTATAATTAGTGGTAATACAATGATTTGATTTTACCTCTTAATTCATATGTGCTAAGTTTCAAAGTATATTTCCAGGTAAAAGTATTTTGGAATAGTATAAATATAAATATTTAAACACATATATATGTATGAGTACTTCTCAGGTTTATATATAAATACAATGCTAAGTTTTTGGCTTTGCTTTTTTATTTTGCAGAACTTCTTGGTATACATGAGCAAGCAGCTGTAGGATTCTTAACATTAATGGAAGCTTTAAGATATTGTAAGGTAAATTGATTTTTAATATATTTTGAAACTGTTTTATTCACATGTTCTCTGTTGTAGATAATATTTTTGTTCCTATGATGGCACATTTTAACTTATTATTATGCCATTCTCTTCATTTTCTTTCTGATCCCTAAGTCTAAACTGGCAAGTTGAAAGATGGTTAAACTGACTGATCCTGAGATTGCTGTGAGAGGAATAGGGACAGAACTCAGAATAAAATAATATATAAAATATACAATATGACTTTGAATTTGAGGTGCCAAAATCTTAGAAGGAATCATACTATTTAGGACTTTTGCCAAAGCCTAAGAATTGGGACTAATCTAGTTATTTCTAGCTGTATTAAATTTACATGACTATTATTATAATATAAAGGTGCAATATAAGTTTAAAAACATTTTATGTATACATGGAACATTTGATCTTTATGGATAAGGCATTCTGTTGAAATATGTAATTACATTTATTTATGAATTAGAAAATATGCTTTGAATATTTGTGTGTTAACAGGCATTGTAAATTTTTCATTTATTTGTTTTACTTTGCTATATTTCTTCCAGGTTGGTTCTTACTTGAAATCTCCAAAATTTCCTATTTGGATTGTTGGCAGTGAAACTCACCTCACCGTATTTTTTGCCAAGGTATACTTCTAGCAGGATTTTTTCTTTAAATATGGCATCAAACAAACAGGTACTATAAGTCCATAAGTTGTATTTTGTGTAAATGTCAGTCTGTTTTCACTAATAAATGGATTGTTCCAAGAATCTAAGAAGTAAATACTACAGAATGTATTATATTGCTCCGATATTGGAGTCGTTTCAATAAAATTTGTCACTCAATTGTGTTATGGAGGAGTCACATTTTGGTTTGCTTTTTTTTTTTTGGTAGGGAGGATAAAAAATCTCACTCACATGATCTAAAATAACTGTATCTCCTTAGAAAATAATTTAAAAATCTATTCAATGATATTAAAGTCAAGTGTTCTTTAAGATAGAACATTTCCCACAGTTTTAATATGTAATTCATTATAATATTGAAATAAAAGAAATGCATTTGTGTTTCAAATGCTTATATAAAATTATTTAAGTCTTAATCATTGACTACATATAATATCTTTTCATAATTTAGTGTTTAAGAGCTTTGATCTTAACCTTCCTTTAAATTCCAGCTTGCCATTGCCACTTACTAACATTTCTTATCCTTTTTTCTTATTGTAATGTAGGGGTTAATTAAAATACCTCGCTCTTAATTGTCAGGCTCAAATATAAAACATTTAGCAGTGTCTAGTTTAATTTAAGTGCTCAGTAAAGCTTAGTTGTTTTCATTATTGTCAATTTCATTTTTCAACAAAATTTAAACATCTCTGTTATCATAAGGTTGAATTATTAGTTTTTGAACTGAATGGGAAAATATAAAATTGATCCTTTGAAAGTTTTTAGTTCTAATGCATTTTTTGGATTCCTCCTTGAAAATTTTAGCAAGTATTTATCAATGTAAATTTACTTGTTTCTATATGAAGTATGAATTGTATTAATTGTGCCAAAATCTGAATTGATAGACTGTTAAATTTTGTAGATGTAATTCATTATTTATTCTCTTATTACTTTTATTGTGCTAGCAAAAGTCCAGTTAGCAGATTTAGAACAAGAAACATATTAAGTTTTCTTAAACTGGGAAAGTTATCATGTGCAACTCTAAAAGTACAGGCTTTTTTTACTTGTTACTTTTAATCAGAAAATTTTTGCTTTTTACTTCCCTCCCAAAATAGGGAGAAAGAAGTTGAAAGCAAAATGTACACTACAGAAACAGAACATCTTCTAATTAGTGATGATTTCATTGTTAATATATTTCCAGAAAAGAAAATTTTAATTTACATATATAATGTATTTTCAAACAAACTATATTTATTTCCAACCCCACTCTTCAACATTAGGAAAATTAACAAATTATACCAAGCTGTATGTTATAAATGTAAAAGAAGATGAGATGAAACTATTTTAAATCTTACAATTGATATTTAAGGAATTATTTTGTCAAAAATAGACTTAGTGGAAAGTTAATACACATATATATCAACTGAGCTCTGTGAGTTTGCAGAATCTTGTATTTAAGCATCTGAGTTAGACCTGCTGACAGAGCAATAAGAACAAATTATGCCTTCTTGATGAAACATACACTTTTTGCTTACTACTCCTGATATTTATTGTTGTTTCCATGGCTCTTGGTTTATTGTGCCATTGGGTTTATCACATAGCATAGAGTTTCCAATTCCCACTGTCTTTTTGCATGTCCCATGGGAGGTAGTGAGCCTTATCCAGGACAGATCTCTCATTTATTCTATTTCTCATCTATAGATCCAAGCCACATGCAATAAAATATTTTATTAGGGATGTGAAATTCATAAGAGAAACACAGGTCTAGGCCTGACAAAAACCTAAAACTTAGTGTGTGACTGTCATTAAGGTCACATACAGGACATTTTAAATCAGTCTTCATTTATTTGCATCCCTGATGCTCCATAGTCATGATAGGAAAGTGCACATATAATAAGGTGATTATAGAAATTTTTTAAGTTTTAGAGTCTTCAAATTTTTAGATCTTCAATATTGTTAAATCAAATTCCTCATCTATCATATAGAACTCTTGAATTTTATACTAATTTTGTTTCAAGGCTTACATTTGTAGTCTGAGCACCTAGCAATTAGTTTGGCTTATCAGATAGAGGATTCATTAGTTGAATGTTATAAACCTTTTGCATGTATTTTCTACACTTGAGTTCCAGTGATATTGATATACCCTATCTTTCCGTGACTTCTTTTGAAGCTTCTTAAAAGTATAGGTACTTCCCTTTCAATGTATTTTATTTATTTATTTATTTTAATTTTTTTTAAAGAGAGAGAGAGAGAGAATTTTTTTAATATTTATCTTTTAGTTTTTGGCGGACACAACATCTTTTTTTTTTTTTTATTGATTGTTCAAAACATTACAGAGCTCAAGACATATCATCTTTCATACATTCGACTCAATTGGGTTTTGAACTCCCCA